TGTTGGTGAATTCGAACTACTAATTGCTTCCGCATTTCAGACTTGTATTTCATATTTCATACTTTTAGAATATGCATGAATTACCGGCCCAAAGTCTGAGGGATAGTAAGAGTTTAGTTAGAAGCATATATGCCTAGAGTCTTTAAGAGATCAGATTTAAGTTGAGTAGCATCCCGCAGATTAAAGTTAAAGTATTTTTGAAACAGTTAATATGAGTTTTCGAAAATAAAATCAGCGTCTTCCAAATATAGCGCGAAAAATTTACTCTGATTTTAGTAATAGTAGGCGGGGTGTTACAATTATGATAAACAACTCTAAAATTATTTTTTTTATGAATGATAGATTCATTAATAAAACACATATTTATAAGCGGCTAACTAGCCGAATGAACTAGCTACATAATTGAATTCATATTGGAGGACATCCCAAAGGGAAGCCTAGACTACCACAAACACACCTACAATAATAATACAATTACTTCCATTAGTGGAGGTTACGACCCCACAAAGGAGAATAACACCAAAAGAAACACAAACAAACACATATCAAACACTAATTACAAACTAGCAATAACTAGAATATCGCCCTCCCCACCAGCAGACCAACCACACCAAACCTCACCGCTTGAACCTCCTCAGGCGGCCACCCAAAAGGCAGAAAGCGCGGTCTGAGACCCAGATCCAGAAACTCCTTTATTTCAACAACAAAGATGGTCAATGATTTGCAAACAATAGATTATTTAGTTCTTCTATCTTCCAAACAAATAATATTGAAAAGAGAATGTCGAGCGTGATCAAATTATTTTTGAATGTTTAAATGAAGTTGTTGTTTTTTTATAGGAATGTTTACAGTCTCATTCGTGTATTATGCCCGAACATATGTACAATTACTTTGGAGTACATAATTTCATTAAATGTGTGATGTTTTCAAAAAATAATTTAGCATCTCGGAAGAAATACATGTAACCAAGATTTTGGAAAGTCGACTTTTACTATAAAATGAAATTTGTTCCCACCCTCATAGAGGTGCCTCCATGTGGTAGGTACCAAATTGTCAATATGGAGAAAGAGTAATGTAGTAGTTTACATCCTCCCTATATATTAATCCAGAATGCGATGAGCCTACGTGGCTGCTTCTGGCGCTTCGGAATCCTACTTGGCAAAGAATCATGCTTCGTAATTAGGTTTGGACAAATAATATTGATATATTAATAATTAATAATTTAGGTTTGGACATTCCATAAATATTATTTAGCTAATTTAGGTATTGTAATGTCACTTGTACTAATATAACCCTTTATTTCTTTATTTTACCTATGAGGCAATAATATATCCCCGACTTTTGATTTGTTTCTTTCATTAGGTATTGAATTATAAATGTATTTTAAAAGTCGATAACTTCTGTATTACGTATCGGTTTTACATATATAATATATCAAATTAATCATCTTTTGATGATCTTCGATTAGACATCTATATTGTATATATGAAATAAATAAATTATATTTATATTTATAATAGTAAAAAATAATAATATTTATTAAATTTCATTAGAAAAATAAAACTATTTCTAAATTGATATATTTATGCTTAATGTAGTTATATGTTGTAAGTTAAAAAAATTATTATAATATAACACATGTAAGTTGCACAAATAAAAAGTGTCATACTAAATATATAATAATATATATATTTTTATAAAAGGTATTTAAATTTTCAACTACTTTTTCTCATTAATTTTAGATTTAAAAAAAAAAAAAAAATTAGCAAGCACTCGTGTAATACACGGGCGTTGTACTAGTATGAATATAAAACATATCAACAATTTTAGTGGCACATGTGGTTATTCCACAAAGATATTCATAAACTGTTAGTAGAAATAATATAAAGATGCTACAATCATGAAATTTGACAATGTTTAAATAAGGTAGATGTTTTTCCAAATGAACTAAAAATAATTTTTCAATACTATTTATGTCTTGGGCTTCAACGAATGTTTCTTAAAAAAAAAAGTCAACCAAAATGATAGAGAACCACTCTTGAATCATTTAACATAAACAAATTAAAGATTTTTTTTTCCAACGATAGATATTATATATATGGAAAGTCAAGTACATACTAGTCAACGGCCACTAGCCGAGAGAAACGACCAACAGCCGAAACTAGTTGGGAGGCATACAACTAGGTAGCCTAGAGCCAACTACATAACAAAACAACCCAATATCCCTACCAAACTCCCATAGGGAGAACACCCTCCCAAACAAGGGGAGAAAAACTCCCAAATCAGGGGAGAACACACTCCCAAACAGGAGAAGAAGGAACTCTCACCAATGGAGACAAAACAACTCCCAACAGGGGAGACAAATCAGCACCACAAAGGCCAAATAGAACTAGAAACAGAGAAAGAGAATACAGAAAAAACTAACTAAAAGCTAAAACTAAAACAAAAGCATATGCCCTCCCCACCGACAACATACGAGCACCCATCCGACACGACACAAACAAGCTGAGGCAGCAACCCAGATCCAGAAGCAACGCCACCCGCTGCACAAACCGAATCTAGAGACACCGAAACCGGATTCCCCGACCCGGATTGGCAAACCCAAGCTCCCTCACTGTCTACTACCTCGGTTAGCCCTAGCAGGACAGAGCCAACACCCTCCCTCACCACACCCCCGTCGACGCAGCCACAAGAACAACCCTCGTTCGGAGAGATCCAACGTCCAAGCACCAGGGACAGCCGAAAACAGGGAGACCAAAACTCAATCCTAAGGTCGACGGCCGCAAGCAGCCGCCCACCCAGCCCCGCGCTCCACAGCCAGGTCGATAACCACCACCTACCTTCTGCCATGGCATCTGGGAAAGGGAAGAAACCCACGCGAGAAGGGTGACCACCAACCCGCCGGGGAACAGGCTGACCAGGGTTAACCTTGCCGGTTCGCACCCTGGGAGCGGCACACGCGCCGGTGGGGAGGCCAAAATAGATTCGAATTTAGGGATATAAGATTTGGGATTTTTTTATCGCCGCAGAAAGAACGTTTTAAGAAATTCTACAGGTTTTAGATTAAACAAATAAAAGAATTAATGCATCTAAAATATACATTAAGTTTAGATTCGTATCTAGTTATTTAATGTGTTTTTTTTTTCCCATCAGAGACTCATTTTTCATATAATTTTCTTGAGGTCGTAATATGTTATTTCATTATTTTCATATTATGACATCTTTATATTATTTTTTATTAAAAAAATTAGGAATTAATTTGTTCCGCATTTCATTTCGTTTAAATAACTATTATCTAATAAATTAATTAATTTATCATTCAAAATTTAATAAGTAAAAAATATTCAACAGCACTTTAAAAAGAAAAAAAAAGGGCCAAATACCGACGTGCGGAGGTCAAATTAAACATGTTACAAAAATATGTCCAAGTTGATGCTAAACCCTTGAGATCTAAAATTTATTAACAAAAGATTCCTCATCCTGTGTCATTGAGTAAGCACCTCCGAGCGCCCAACGCGGCAATCTAAAGTAAATGGCCTAAATTGTATCCAAAAAAATAAAAAAAAAAAGTAAATGGCCTAAAAGTCAACTTCCCAAGCTAAGTGACCAATATTTATGTTTACATTAAATGCCAATTTACAGTGCATCTCAAATTCAAAAACTTTTAGGGAATTGGAAATCCAATAATGCTAAGGAGTTAACTGTTGGCTCCTTAGCATTATTGATTGGAAAGCAGTCAATACTTAAAATCCATCACAATCGATCATAGTTAAAATAAGTTATTTTTTAAATAAAACTGATTGGACCAAAAGAGAGATCGTAATTAAATAATATTTAAAATTTAATGATTAAAGGTGATAATATGTAAAAGTATGAGAGAAATTATAGAAATAATAGGTAGTTAAAAAGACGTGAATAGATGAATAGTAAATTAACCATGTACGAGAGATAGATGATTAATACTACTATTATTTAATTATATTAATAATATTGATAATAGTGAAATTAAGTTAGTTTTTTTTATAAGAGTGAGTAAACAAAAAAAAAAAAAAACAACGAATTTGATCAAAACTAATTTTCATCAGTTTTTAATTTCTTCTTTCCCTACCAACAGGGTTGCCACAAGTGGTAAGCATTTTGATGTCGCTTAAGCACAGTCTCGGGTTCGAGTCCTTGTGAATGTAGAAAATCCTTGTTGGGAAACTCACCCACCATTGCCAGGTGTGCGACCTGGGTCGACCAATGGATTATTCGGGGCAAAAAACTTCGGATACTGTGACTGGCTACAAAAAAAAATAAAACTTCTTCTTTCCCTCCACTTGTTCATGACCCCACTCGGTACAATGAATTTTTTTTTTCTTTTTAGATTCAACACCTCCTCATACGTATCAGAGCCATTCTTCGATCCATTCGTTCTCGGATCTCACACATCTTCCGCGAGGGAAACTAGACTGCTGATTTCCTCGCCGGCATCGGGTCCTCCACTCCCCAAATACGCATTCTTTACCCTGACGATATCCCTCTCGGCACCCTCATACGGATGGACCAGATGTGATACCCTTCATTAAAGTCTGCGTAGCCACTCCTACATTTTGGCGCACCTGCCACACTGTGATGCAGACTTCTTTATCGAGCCTTTTCTTGGACCAGGATTTACTATTTTTGTTTTTTCTCGCTGCGGTTGCCAGCTTTTCATTGTATTTTCTCTTGCTTTTGTTTTTTGTCTTTCATTTGACTTGATGTATTTCAGACAT